AGCCATCACTCCTGGCTTCAGTGAGCATTATTTTAAAGTTCACCAAACTCCTGGGAAACTCAGAATATTTGGGGGAAGGGCATCGATTAGAGCTCGTTAAATGAAGGTTTGGGCAGATCTGTATTTTATCCAGGAGCGCCGCCAGCTTTTTTGCGGCCCTAGGCGGCGGAAGGTCCTGCCCCCAAAATGCCGCCCCCAACAGAGGTGGCGGAAGGTCCCGCCCCCAAAATGCCGACGATGACCGGGGCGGCCGAAGATCCGGCTGCCGTGGTTGCCGCCCCCCAAATGTTAGCGCCCTAGGCGACCACCTAGGTCGTCTAATGCGTTGCGCCGGCCCTGATTTTATCTCAATTGGTTCGTCTGTCCAGAGAGAAAGACAGACAATGATAGCCGTGGCTAAGTGTAAGAACAGCACTGTACTCTTTGTTGTGATATCCCTTATGCCCAAAACATTGGGGCAAATCAACCACTGGACCAGTTCTTGGTGTTCCCTACTCACCTAGGATGATATTTACCCCGGGCAAAGGATCAGCATGAGACCTCTAACCCATCTAAGCCCTTAAGATAAGGTGGTATACAGGCCTTATACAGGTCTTCTACATGGGGGGTGAAGGTCACCCAATGCACCTATAAAAATCATTAAGGACCAAAAGAGCAGTCCGGAAGGAGGCAGGGTAGTCTGGTGGTTTGGGCACTTGCTGGTATTCAAGAGATCTGGATTCATGTTCATGCTCTACCATGGATAGCCTGGGTGAGTCATTTAGGGTAAAATTTTCAAAAGTGCCTAAGTGATTCAGGAACCTTCATCCTATTGAAAGCCAATGGGATTGAGGCACTTTTGAAAATGTTACCCAACGTTTTATTGAAAGTTTGACTTGGACACTTTTGTTTTACCCACAGTCTCTCTGTGTGTCAGTTCCTCTACCACAGATGTCCTGTGTGACTTTGGGCAAGTCACTTAGGCCCAGATCCACAAAGATATTTAGGCTCCTAAAAGGTATGTCTACACTGCACAGCAAACCCAGCTTCTGACTCAGGTTTGAGCTCAAACCCCCCTTCCGTCTACACACAAATCAGTCTGACTCGGGTCACCAAGCACGCAGAACCCAGGTCCTAGGACCCTGCTGGGGACAGGGGGGGCAGAGCTTGAGTCTTGCTGTGCCTCAGGTCCAAGCCCTGTCATTTTGCAGTGTGGATGCAGCACAAGCCCCAGACGTGAGTCACAAGGCCTGTGTAGTGCAGTATAGATGAGTCAGCATGGCTGTGAGACCCCCATTCGGCAATTAGAAACCCAGGTTTACAATGCAGTAGGGACACTCAAGCATGGGCTTGGAAACACCAAGTCCACAAGCCTGCGTCCCATAGACCTGGTTTACAATGGAGTGTAGACGTACCCAAAGATACAGATGTCAATGGGAGTTCGGTGCCTAGGCACTTTTGAAAATCCCACCAGATGGCGAGATCTCTAGGTGCATAAATACCTTTTAAAATCTGGCCCTTAGTCTCACTCTGCCTCAGTTTCCCATCTGTACGATGGGGATAATACACCGCCCCACCTCACAGGGGTGCTGTAAGGGTAAATACATTAAAGACTATGAGGTGCTCAGATGCTACAATGGTGGGGACCGACTGATCGATTTAGGCTGGCTGGCCTCACTGGGAATTTGGACTGAGCTGCAAGTGGCACTGGTTTAGGACCATTGCTATAGAATATGATGGAATTATTCTTTTAATAAGGTTTATTGCTTTTTATTTTTATTTTTTATATTACATTTTTAGAGGTAAAAATGATTGGATTTAAATGAACGAGGCAAAAAAATGCACTTTTGTTGTTCATTGCTTGCACCAGTGAAGCAAGAGAATTAAGATCCCTCATTTAAAAAAATACATCCACTGCAGTAGTGCAGCGCGGTGCTGAGTGCCAGGCACTGCCACTGAAGGGCACTGGAGCTGAAAGTGCTTTGCACCTTGCAGGAGTCAGGCCCTTTTGCCCTAACTGGAGAAAGTTCTGTAGTGCCAGTCCAATTGGGCTGGAGTCAATCACCTCTTCCTTGCACAGGTGTAAATCAGGAGTAACTTCATTTGGACCAGTGGCGTGAAACTGCTGTAAGTGAGAGGAGAATCGGGACCAGAGCAATGTTTGGAACCATTGCTGATGACTAGGGTAGTACCTGGATTTTATCAGGGATATTAGAAATAATCCCTTCTCTTATGGCGGCCTATGAAAATGACGATAGGTAGAAATCTATTTGCCTGATCCAAAGTGCAATGGGAGTCTAAGGCCCCGATTCAGCATACCACTTAGCATGTGCTTAAGTTTAAGCACGTTCTTAAATGCTTCCCTAGCCTGAGGCCTAAACAAGGTAAATAATCGCTGGTTTCAGAGTTTTACTGACCAGCTAGCTAGTGACTGAGATCTTCGCCACAGATCTTGCGGCCGGGCACTCTCTGATGCCGTGGCACATGTATGAAAAGAAGATTGCCTCTGTTGGCTGGTTTATCAAACAATGGGGAAATTCCTTTCTCTCCTGCCGCTGTTCGGATTGTCAGCTACGCTTCTGGACGTGGAAACTATGGGAAGACGGGAAGTAAATAAGCACGTGCATGGGGCAAGGGACAGATCACTATAATCCACTTGAAACATTCGTGGGAGCAATGGGAGGCTCCCAGCTATTCTGGAATAAAACCGGGATTGTAAAGGGAATGGGGCAAGCCCTGAGTTCTTTATTCAGGCAGAACTTCCATTACAATCAATGGAGTGGGGGAGGTTGCGGCCTTGAAGACTGAGTCAATACAGAATAAGTGCTCCAGGATCTGGGGAATCACTGGACCAGTCTTTAGATCCAGCCCTGCCTTCACCCCTGTGCAAAGCCGGTGCACCACATTTGGCCTGTGGGTCTGAATTGTTGAGCAGTCCTTTTGCGGACTCTCTGCACAGAGGCGAGTTCCCTGCACTCTGGGGAAAGTCCCATTGATTTCAAGGGAAGCTCTATTCTGGGAGGGGATTACAAGGTGCGGCCCAAAGCGAAGGAGTTCTGCTTTAGGGTGAGAGGGCTGCACGCCCTCTGTGAGCCAAAACAGAGAGGGCTCAGCACAGGCCGGCTGAAGCTGCAGCACAGTTAGGGCCCGGGTGCGTTTTCAAAAGGTGTGCTAGAAGGTAGAGCTTTATAATAATGGGAAACTCTTGCCCCACTAATTGAAAGCAAGGGGCCATCTGGGAAGCAGGCCGGATCCCACCTTCACTGTCACCCGTGTAATCTCATTGACTTCAGTGTGTGCCAGTGAGGGCAGAGCTTGGGCCATTCTGCCCAAGAGCTGCAGGCTGTTGGTATATTGTTTCGGAGCAGAGGTCAATCGCAGGGCAATAGTTTTCCACTACAAACCTGAACTCCTATATCCCGTATTACAACTAGTCATACCAAGCCAACTCCTCCGCTGGTGTTGCTTAGTACTGTAGCTCCATTGAAACTAGTTTACACCAGCGGAGGATCTGGCCCATAAATTGCTTTGTGCCAGTGTTATATTGCATAAGCTCATAGAACATTTGAATGTATATCACATATATATTACATACATCAAGCCCAATCCTCTGCTGGTGTCAATTGCTGTGGTTCTGATAAAGCTAATTCACAGCAGCTGAGGATCTGTCCCTGTCTTTCTATATACAACATGATAATATATAATGAAGCTGATGGTTGCAGAACAATAGAGTCAGGAGTTCTTTAACACACAATGCCACCTGTCCTTTGTACCATCTCTGGTCAGTCGTGGAATTCTGCTTGTGACACCAAGATTAATTACTAGTTCCTCCCCACGTGATGAGCACAGGTGCTTAACTTTCAGCTCACCTTCCTTCACTTGTACAATTCTTTGCTCCATTTCAGTGACTACCAGGAAGCACCCAGAAAGCTTTGCCTTGCTTCTCAAATTTAGTCAGCCCATGCCTTGCCCTAATCCAGCCTTGTTTTTCTTTTTACTTCCATGAATCTCCTTCAAGTCATCGGAGAATCTATAAACACTATAAACATGAATACTGTATAGTCTACTAAGAAAAAATATATTTGTATGTGTATTCAATATTGTCATGCAACAAATATCCATGCAGCAGTACTGTATTACTGATTAAATTTCACTGCAGTATAAATATATTATAGGCCACAGCATAGTTTGCTCCAGTATTCTAAAAAAAGATGCTTTTTCAACTCATTTTGAATGTGTCAGTGGATGTGTCTTTGGTGAACCTGGAGATAGTGAAGATGGAAGTGTCATCTAAAAAAAAAAAACCCAAATAAAAAGCAGGCTCTTGATTTGTTTGTGTCCCTTCCTATCGCCGGCATAGAAAATTTAAGACTTAATAAATAGTGTTCTGTCATGCTAATTCTCTCTCCCCTAGGTCTCACACTGACATACTGCAGTGGATGAAACCATTGCAGCATGCAGCATTTTCAGTTATGAAACACAAGCCTGCATGATGTATTCTTGGTTGGCATTTCCAAGGAAGAAATCTGAGCCTTAAAGTAATTTGGACGCCTGGATGTATGTTCCTTTAATTAAACTATGCATGACCTTTTCATTATGAATCCATACGCTTGGAAGTTAGATGTGTGCTATTTCCTTGGGATATATTTTTGTATGTGTCGAGTGCAGTGAAACACTTTTTCTGCTTGACATTTGTGGGTACTGTTGTTTACATGAGGTTTCTCGAATGACTTTTTAGTTCAATATCCTTGGGATTGCAAGTGATATAATTTTGTTTTGAATGCCTACATGCTCTATGTCTTTGGAAACCCATAAACCTGTGATGTAAAAAAACAATTTTTGCAAGAAAGCTTATTCAGTGTCTAAATAAGAAGTTTAGAAAGTCACTTACACAACTATTGCTTCCCATGCAGAACCAAATGCACGCTGTAGAACATACTGTTTTAACTACAATGCAGGGTATTATGCAATATCTGCAATTGTTCCACTTCAGCTTTAAAGATGTTAACAGGTTTTCAGGACTACACATCAGTTAGCATTTTGGTGATATTAACGTAATTTGTGTTAGCCAGGGTGCAATTGGCTGTCTTCAAGTTCTCCTCTCTAAAGTCCTCATTACTATTATTTACACCTTCCTGTATCTCCATATAATCAGACTTACTAATAGTGGAGGCACTTCTGCTTTTCTTTAGGTCAGGGGAAGAAGGGATCTTTGGGCAGCTGGTCACTTGCAAATATTGGGCTTGCTCCTCTCCTTCCGTCTCGCGGTGATAGAAGTAGTTGAAGTTGGACACTATGACTGGCACTGGTAAGGCAATCGTTAATACACCTGCAATGGCGCATAAGGAGCCCACTATTTTCCCACCGATGGTCGTGGGGACCATGTCTCCATAGCCAACTGTGGTCATGGAAACCACAGCCCACCAGAACGCATCTGGGATGCTGGGAAACTGAGACTCGCTCTCATCAGCCTCTGCGAAGTAGACGGCGCTGGAGAAGAGGATGACGCCAATGAAGAGGAAAAATATCAAGAGACCTAGTTCCCTCATGCTGGCCTTGAGGGTCTGCCCCAGGATCTGCAGCCCTTTGGAGTGCCTGGACAGTTTGAAGATCCTAAAAACTCTCACCAAGCGGATGACTCGAAGGATGGCCAGAGACATGGCCTGTTGGCCTTGCTGGCCATCCTCTGGTTTCTCAGCCAGTTCGGTCCCTAGAGTGATGAAGTACGGGATGATAGCTACAATGTCAATAATGTTCATGATGTTGGTAAAAAACCCAGCCTTGCTGGGGCAGGCGAAAAACCTTACCAAGAACTCGAAGGAGAACCAAATGATGCAAAGTGTCTCTACTATAAAGAAAGGGTCTGTGAAAGAGGTCGACTGCTGATAGCTCATGGTACTGTTGGAGTAGGGGTGATGGCTCATCCCGCCGCCATGCAGGTCTTCGTCATCCCGAAAAACAGGCAACGTTTCCAGGCAAAAGCTCACGATGGAGATTAGAATCACCATGACAGAGACAATAGCTATAATCCTGGCGGGCCCTGAGCTTTCTGGATACTCAAAGAGCAGCCACACTTGTCTCTGAAACTCGTTCTCCGGTAAAGGCCTTTCTTCTTCCTTAATGTATCCTTCATCCTCTCGGAACATCTCCATGGCTTCTTCCCCGAGTTCATAAAACCTGATCTCCTCCGAGAAGATGTCTAAGGGCACGTTGACAGGCCTCCTTAACCTGCCACCCGATTGGTAGTAGTACAAAATAGCATCAAAGCTGGGTCTGTTTCGGTCAAAGAAATATTCATTCCGGAGAGGATCGAAATATCTCATTCTCTTTTTAGGGTCTCCTAGCAAGGTCTCTGGAAACTGAGCTAGCGTCTTGAGTTGCGTTTCAAACCGCAGCCCCGAGATGTTAATGACCACCCTCTCACAGCATTCATGATCGGTTTCAGGGTTATAGGTGTCCTGAGGATGACCTGCCAAAGCTGCCGCTTCATCTGTGGGGTCTCCAGTAGCAACTGTCATATTTAGGTTTAAAAGCAATCCTTAATCTAAACTCTTCCGGCTGCCCGGTGCTGGGATCAGGTTCAGGGGAAGGTTACTCTCCTGGGAAAGGACAAGTTCGTAGGTTTGGAAGTGGCTCATGAAAATGCAGAGGGATGATCGGGGAGGGGGAAATATTTTAGCCTGCTGAGAAAGAAAGAGACGAAATAAAGTTGTGTGTATTAGGAACCTGCACCTGGCAGAATATATAGCATATTCCTCAGCTGATTTTAATTTGCTTTCTTGGTGCAGAGTTTGAAAACTCCGGTCCCAATATCTGGTGCTGATGGAAAAAGCACTTGAGGAAACCTTTCTAATGAAAACGAGGGAAACATTTGCATTGGCAAAACCAAACTTTTTAAAAAATACAAGAAAAAACCACTGAATTCTTTTCTATTCAAGGGACTAAACTCTGGATGCCAGTGAAAATGAATATGATATCAATAGATTCTGCTCATGCACTTAAGGGTTAGAAATCAACCATGCAATAGCAGGCAATTCAGTGTTAACCTAAAGGAGCACATTAATGTCTCCAACTTAAAGTTAAACACATTCACCGTTCTTTTGCACTGGAAATAAAATTGCAAGCCAACATGCTTCCCTATGATAATTTTTTTCTCTCTCTTTAGGCTTTACAGCCAAATGGTTTGGTTTATTTTTTTGCGGCTAGTTAATTTGCAAACACCTGTGCTAGCTGACAGTTTGACTACTGCATTTCCCATCCTCGAGATTTTTTTTCTGTGGCTCCTCTCCCCTCCTTCTTTGCAAACGACCACTGCGTACAGAAAACAAATCGCATTACCTGGAGAAGCAAATCTCAGTGTCTCTTAGTGACACAGATTAATTGACTCTGGGGAAATCCTAGAGAGAAATACAGGCTTCCAAGATCCCCATAAGTTCCTCTCTTCAAAGTTCAAAATAATGGTGAGTCATCGTAGGAAGGGTGGGGGGAGGGTTAGCTCTCCAGATTGTGCAGGTTAGGTCTGGTAATGGTGTGGGATTGGACAGGCAAAGGAGGAAAAGCCTCTTGATGGCTGTTGCAGCTCTTTACTTCAGGGCAGATCAGTGTCTATCTGAAGCTTTCTCTATGATGGTGGAAAGATGCTAAGCTCAGCAAAAAACCTGATGTCCCCAGTGTCCTCGGGAGGTGTGGCGTTGCCTGGAAAAAACAGCAGTACGGTAAAGAGCTGGTGGGTGCTTTAAAGCGGCATCTGCAAAAGACCCAGTTCCTAGAGGCAGCCCTCTTCCTCCTGCATGCTGTTTTATAATTCCTCACTGCCCCATACTGCAACAAGGGAGAGGGGCAGAGAGCACCAATGGCCACCCGAAAAAACAGAGCTGCCTCTCTGTCTGCCGCACGTGGGGCGGCCCCTAGCACAGGGCAAAAGTCACCCTGCACGTGGGAATTGGTGCTGGGGGTCGCAGCTGCAGCCTGGTGCCGGGCGCTGCACAATGTGATCTCGATCTTCTTTCTCCTCACCAAGGCAAACAGCAGACCATGCCCCCTGCCATGCTCAGCTCCTGTGCCACTGCGCCAGGTTCGCAGTCATGCCGCACATCCGAGTTGCCTTGGGATGAAGCCTGCTACTTGACTCCCATGCACTAGCGGCTTTGCAGAGGCTTTCCTTGACAGCTGGGTAGGATGCTCAGCGTCAGTTCTTGAGCCTGGCTCTCCAAACAGCCCACAAAAAGCCCCAGGTGAACTCAACTTTTGCGGCCAGAAATTGCCACTGAGACTTTCACGCCCGAGTCCCCGGCACAACATGTTGTCATCAGCTTCCCTGCATCGAACTTGGTCAAAACCAGACAATCTCAGGCAGCTGGGACGTTTCTTTGGAGGATGGCGTTTCTTAGTGCAGAGAAGTCCAACCAACCATTTTTCCTCCTAAAGAGAGAATCTCTAGCATCCTTTCTTCAGCTGCAGACAGCAGCCTGGCTTGCCTACTCTGAGCCAGGATTACAGAACTAGGTAGGGGGAGTCAGGTGGAATAGGACCTTTAGCTCTCACTCTCCTAGGCAGAGATTTCTTCCTCCACTTGGGCAATTATGCCTCTGGTGCTGCCTCTTCATTGTCACCCTTGGAGGCTTTGCTCCAGATCCCCCTTTTGTTTGAAATCTCCCAGTTTCCTTCGAATTCTCCTCACCCTTCTCCTTATGTACTAGAGGAAATAGTACAACCCTGACAAGGCTTGCAGCATTCAACTGCTTCGCTTAACCCTTTTTTAACAGGCCCAAATTAGGGAAGGTTAAAATTGATCCCATTTTTTTTTTCTTCCTCTCCTCACATTCCTCCCTGCAATGACTCTGTGGGAGAATCTGACCCTCTCAGCCACTCTCAAGAATCTTTTTTTTTAAAAGCCATGAACAGCGTATTTAGTGCTGCATAACTGACAAGCATCTTATTGGACCCAATTTCCTCTGCAAGACAAAACAAACCAACCTTGATTTTTTTTTTACACAGTTATTTTTCCTCTGTCCATTCAAACAAACAAACAAACAAAAAAAACCCAACAACCAAGGTTCATTTAGCAGCAGAAATATTGTTTTAGCGTATTGATTTTTATTTCACTGTCTTTCTATATCAAAACAACCACAGCTAGTGCTTATCAGATGTTGTTATGGTGTCATCTGATCTTAGCATTTTTCAAATCACACCTCCCCTCCCCTTTTCTCTGTACCGTTTTATGGTTTCATGCATTCCTGGATCATCTAAGGTTAGAAGCAAGCGGGAGTGAAGAGCCCCATCCTTTGGCCTATTTCATGCTCATTGAGGTTTTTAGGGGTGGGTTGATTCTCTCTTTGCAAAAAGTACCAATGTTAGTTGCATGCACAGACCTCATTCAAAATCAAGCTCATTGCAGGCATGTGAGCCGTTCCACACATTTCAGAGTGCTTAGCATGATTTCGGAGGACAGAGGGAAGATCGCATGCATTGAGGAAAAGGTTGTGTTTGCTTAACCCTTTTCACTCGAAATATGATGCATCCGTTCTCATCTCGTTGCCTACTCTGTCCCCATATCTACTCTGGCAACACCATCAGAGGACCCAACCACATCAGCCACACCATCAAGGGCTCATTCACCTGCACATCTACTAATGTTATATATGCCATCATGTGCCAGCAATGCCTCTTTGCCATGTACATTGGCCAAACCAGACAGTCCCTCCGCAAAAGAATAAATGGACACAAATCGGACATCAGGAATGGTAACATACAAAAGCCAGTAAGTGAACACTTCAATCTCCCTGGTCATCCTATTACAAATTTAAAAGTCACTATCATTGAACAAAAAAACTTCAGAAACAGACTTCAAAGAAAAACAGCAGAACTAAAATTCATTTGCAAATTTAACACCATTAATCTGGGCTTGAATAGGGACTGGGAGTGGCTGGCTCATTACAGAAGTAGCTTTTCCTCTCCTGGAATTGACACCTCCTCATCTATTATTGGGAGTGGACTACATCCACCCTGATTGAATTGGCCCTGTCAACACTGGTTCTCCACTTGCGAAGTAACTCCCTGCTCTCCATGTGTCAGTATATAATGCCTGCATCTGTAACTTTCACTCTATGCATCTGAAGAAGTGAGGCTTTTACCCACGAAAGCTTATGCCCAAATAAATCTGTTAGTCTTTAAGGTGCCACCAGACTCCTTGTTGTTTTTGTAGATACAGACTAACACGGCTACCCCCTGATACTCGTTCTCACAGTGTGTGGTAAACCTCTGGTTAACGGTGGGGGTGGGAGGGTGGAAGGCAACGACTTACAATTGGTTCTGCAGTCAGGCATGCAGTGCATACATAAGGAGCTGTCTGCACTAGGGTACCACTCCTTACCTGGGAACAGTAGAGGCTAACTTAAAGGGGACACTGCTGGAGGGGTAGGGAGCAGGAAATAGATGGCAAAAACTGCACTACTGCTTTTGACAATGAATCATTTAAAACAGAAAGGCTTCAAAAATAATATTCATATGATTAATATGAGATTTTTTTCTCTCTCTCCAAAGCGGAGACCTATTTTTCAACCACTGGGAAATAATAAAATCCTTTGCTTTATGATGTTCCTGAAACCTATAACTCAGATCCTTGGCCATATTCTGCATAACAGTCTGCATCTGTCCTATTAAGATTTGAAGGGTGAAGAATAACCAGCTACCCCTAACTTCGGGAAGGGAAACGTATATGGGTGATCAAAATCGGGAGGAAATATAAGGCCAGATTCTGCCATCCTTCATTGTGACTAGCACTGGGGTGAAGGGCAGTGTTGTCCAATGGTTAGGACACTGTCCTAGGAGACCTGAGCCCTAGTCCCGGCTCTGGGAGCGATTTGCTGTGAACAGGGTTGATGAGAGTAGGGAAACTACCTTCGCTGCATGGAAATAAGGAAAAGCCACATGAAAGATAAGGGACAAGGCTTTATTTTAAGGGATGTTTTAGGGAAACACCACTTCCCTTAGCAGATCCTGTTGTTTTTCTCTCAACTGTACGTTTCTACTGCCCTCAAGTATGCTAAGCAATGATTATAAGCTTCAATGTAATGTTTCAAATGGTACTAACGATCAATGTTAATACATGTCAATACATGGTCAAAGAAGGGACGAGTGATCACCCGAAGTGATAAATCAATGAAATAAAGGACCGTCCCTTAAAATAAGGGATGGGTGGTCCCCCTACATGGGGGGGAGGGGGGGAAAGTGGGGACAATTGTGGTGGGGACCCAAGCGGGGGGGGGGGGGGGAGAAAGTCTGTGTAAATAAAGGGAAAGGGGAAGGGGTGGGGTCCCATGAACATGATGTACCCGGGCCCCAAATTTCTCTCAATGCCCTGGCTGTGATGCCTTAAAAAAATTGCTTCACATCTATCTAGTCTATTTAGACTGCAAGGTCTGGGGGGAGGAACTAGCCCTTGTTGTGCATTGGTGAATTGCCACTATGGGACCCTGAACTTGGGACCTCTCCTGTAGTTCTACTAATAGAACTACTA